TGTCATGTTTTATAACTGCTTGTAGTTGTAGTTAGTGTAGTTATTTAAACTGTTGTTGGTGGTGCACCTTATTTGGTTTCTATGCTATATGCACCCTTGAACCTATAGTGAAACCATCACTTTTCTCCAATTGCTCTCTCAACTCACTCGACACCTCGCCTAGGGTAAAACCTACTCGACACCTTAGTTCGGGCCTAGGCTACTAAGCCTAGGCCCTTCCTTTCAACTTACCTTATATTTTGACATGTTATCGGAGCTAATTACGACCTGGCCTGTGGGCCCGCCCTACGCTTCCGCTATGATTTTTCGGTCGCGCGCCTAGGGCGCGTGACGATTTTTACCTTGTCCCGCCCACGGGTGTGTGACTTCTACTCTGCCCGTCGCGCGCCCCGTGGCACGCGACGGTGCCCTTCAACTGCCCATCGTGCGCCCCGTGGCACACGATGGTGCCCTGCTCGTCGTGCGCCCCTAGGCACACGATCGGGCCCTCTTTCTTCTCCTACCAGTCGTGCGCCTCGTGGCACTGGCACGCGACGGGCCTTTCCGCCCCTGCTCTCCCTGAAGCCGCCCCTGGCCCATCTGCACCGACACCTTTTCTCCGCTCTGCGGCTTTCTTCCCGCCCACCCCCTCCTCCTTTGTCTCCCTGCATCCGTGGGGAGGAGGGTATGGGGGTGGAGGGTGTTGGAGTGTTGGGTCACCTCTCTCCCTTCCCCTCCTCCTTCTTTCAGTCCCACCGCTGCAGCTGCCGCTGGGGGGGGAGGGTGTGAGGATGTGGGGGAGCAGGGGGAGTGGTACCGGGGTGGCGGGTGTGAGGCAACATGCAGCCGTCCCTCCACCACTCCTCACTTCCCCCCCTTCTCTGCTGCTCTTTCAGCAGTGTGGGGAAGGGGAAGGAGGAGGGTGAGGAGATGGAAGGGGTACCTGCTGTTGCTTGCTATTCTTTTGAATGGCGTAACTACATATCTACCTACAAGCATTATGGGGGCGTGTCGAAATATATTGGTCATGTTTTATAACTGCTTGTAGTTGTAGTTAGTGTAGTTATTTAAACTGTTGTTGGTGGTGCACCTTATTTGGTTTCTATGCTATATGTACCCTTGAACCTATAGTGAAACCATCACTTTTCTCCAATTGCTCTCTCAACTCACTCGACACCTCGCCTAGGGTAAAACCTACTCGACACCTTAGTTCGGGCCTAGGCTACTAAGCCTAGGCCCTTCCTTTCAACTTACCTTATATTTTGACAGCAAACGCGCGATGCCAAAACCCACCTCCGAGCTTGAATCTGCGCCACGCCTCACCACGCCTCTGACCAACCTGTAAACGCGCGATGCAAAACCCTACCTCGGAGGTTGAATCTGTGCCACGCCTCACCACCTCAGCCTGTCACGTTCAAAGATTTCAGCGATTCATGCTGATGCGCTGTACAGCAATCATGCTGAGGCTGACCAATCAGAACAGCTCGCGTCGTCGTGTTGATCGAATGAATGTTGTAGGGGCAAGACTAAACCAATCAGTATTAGGGCGCAAAATTGTGAGGTACTCGCCAGCACAGCAAGGGAGTGCCTCAGTGCCTGAATGTCGAGTGGTGGAATACTCGATAAAAGATGCAAGGGAGTGTCCGAATTTCGAGTGGTGGAATACTCGATAAAGATGCTTGATAAATTCCTAGAGTTACAATAGGAACACATCTTTATTATTTACATCTCCTTGCAGTACTTAGACGATGCTCAAGGGAATTATTTAACATCAAGGTGTTTGGAAAACCCCATCAGCCGTATTCTCCCGGACATAACTGTGAAACAATGAGAAGAGGAATGAAATGACTAAGTCACAAATTGGTACAAATAACAAACCCTAGGAATCTGTACCCCATATGTGCTACCCCACTATAGCCTACAAACATGTATCAGCTATAATGTTCTGACACACCCCCATAGGCAAAGTGGGGGAGAACAAGGGGTCACAAGACCAGTCAAGCAAAGCAAAGCAAGCTCAGGGTGGATCACAAAGTCACCACACAGTCCGAGCACAAGAGCAGGGCCAGAGGCCAGTTCACATGCAGGAGTACAGACATATATATAATACTAGACAAGCAAGAGCAGGTATATATATATGTCACAGTACAAGTGAAGTCAGGAAGAGAGCAAGTGAGGCAAGACAGGCACAAGACCCAGCTGGGTACAGAAGCGCTGATGGTCACAAGGCGCGAGTGCCTTGGTGAACACATCAGCAGTGTTGGCCTCAGAGGCCACGTACGCAAGTCGCAGCTGACCACGCTGCTGCAGCTCACGAGCAAGGAAGTAGCGAAGAGCAATGTGCTTCGTTCTGTGCTCCAGACGCTGCTCTCGACACAAGGCCAGCATGGCCTTGTTGTCTACGTACAGCACTGGAGGAGAACGAGGCGGCTCTCCAAGGTCAGTCAGCAGGTAGGTGAGCCAGCGAAGCTCCTGTGCAGCCATGGCCCCGGCGTAGATCTCAGCCTCACAACTGGAGCCGAGAACCGAAGACGAGCGAGTAGACCGCCACGAGACAGAGCCGGAACCAAGGCTGAAGGTGTAACCCTGTGACGACCGCTGCGTAGCCTGGTCGTCAGCCCAAGAAGCGTCCGCGTGGCCCGTAAGGACCACTGGACTCCGCCCTCCAAGCACTAGCCCCATGCCCGACGTACTGCACAGGTAGCGCAATACCCTCTTCGCTGCAGCCATGTGCTCAGGTCGGTGTCTCCCAGGAGCAACATAGCGTGCAAGGATGCTCAGAGGGTATGCAAGGTCAGGTCGTGTGCAGGTCATCAGGTACATGAGGCAGCCGACAAGCTCTGCATACGGGCCACTCGACTCTACGGACTCATCCGAAGGCAGAGCTGAGAGCGAGTGGCGAGTAGGCAGAGGAGTGGCCTGAGGCGAGGAGTACGTGAAGCCGAAGCGCTGAAGGACCTGCTGCACCATGTGTGACTGAGTCAGGGTAATGGTGCGGCGTGCTCTGTCCCGAGTGATCTGCAAGCCAAGGTAGCTGCGCAGTTCACCCAGGTCTGTGCATGTGTGTCTCTTCAGCAGCTCGGACTTCACGTAGGCGAGTCCAGCAGTGTCCGCTGTGGCAAAGACCAAGTCGTCGACGTACACGAGGATGTAGAACGGCGGCAAGGAAGTGTCGGTGCGAAGAAACAGCGACGGGTCAGCAGTGGAAGGAGCAAACCCAAGAGCCGCAAGCGTAGTCCTCAGTGTGTCGTGCCACTCACGCGGTGCCTGGCGGAGACCGTAGACTGGCCGTCGGAGGCTCCACTGGGTGCCAGGAGGGAAAGTCCCAGTGAAGCCAGGCGGACGGCGCAGCCAGATCTCCTCGTGCAGGCTACCCTGCAGGAACGCAGTGCTGAAGTCGAGAGAGTGAAGCTCGTAGTCGCACTGAGCGGCAACATGCAGCAGCACCCGAAGAGTAGTCATCTTTGGAGTGGGAGAGAAGGTCTGAAAGTAGTCAACTCCCTGCCGCTGACTGAAGCCACGAGCGACGTAACGTGCCTTGAAGACAGGCGGAGAGCCCGGCGGCCGCTTCACCCTGAAGATCCACATGCCACTGACGATGTTCGCCCCAGGAGGGGGAACTGCGTCAACGTAGGTGCCTGTGGACTTCCAGGAAGCCATCTCTGCATCCATAGCTGCCTGCCACTGAGAGGAGTAGGGACCCTCTACAGCCTCCGCGTAAGAACGCGGAGTCGGGATGTCTAGTGCATCCGGGTCTCCCTCAGGGGCAAGCAGTACAGACGCGAGATGAGGTGAAGCAGCCGCTAGACACTGTAACTCCTCCTGCCTGTCCTCTAGGACGTCCGTGCCTAGAGCACACTCACCCCCGACGGACGGAGGACAGACAGACGCAGACTCAGCAACAAGACTAGCAGCGTAGTCTAAGCGACAGCGAGCAGCAAAGTCGACAAGCTCAGTGAGTAGGGCAGACGCAGCAGAAGACTCGAAAGAAGGGTCAGTGACCACAGTAGCAAGGAAACGCGTGACAGTAGGACTGGCAGCACGCAGAGAGTCCGACGCAGGGTCGGCAAGCGCAGGAAGAGAGGACGCAGGAGGAGAAGGCAAAGGGGCACGCAGAGGAGCAGTGGACGGACGCAAAGACATCTGGTGCGTGCCAGGAACAGGAGGAGGACGCTGACGCGAACCGCGACCAGTAGTGCGAGCAGGACGAACAGGCGACGCAGGACGAGACGCAGGCTCACGACGCTCAGCAAGACCTCCAGTAGGACCAGTGTAAGGAGAGGGAGCAGGTAGTGGAGAGGAAGGCTCCAGCAGGGACTGCGACTGGACAGGCGGTGGACTCTCTACTGGCGGAGAAAGACCAAGAACCTGCTGCAGGAGCGGAACGAAGTACGGTCGAGGCCGCTCAGCAGCTCCAGGCGCAGCAGGGACAGCTCCAGCACCCTCAGCGACAGCACCAGGGCCACCAACTCCTCCAGCAGCAGGACCAACAGCAGCAGTCTCAGCACCAACACCCTCAGCAGCGCCAGCTCCAGGAGGACCCGCAGGCCCAGCAGCTTCGGGACCGGCAGCACCAGCACCCTCGTGAGTCGAAGAAGGTCCAGCTCCAGCTCCAGCAGCACCCCCAGACTCAGCAGTACGCCTCCAACTACGAGCGAACCACTCGCGCAGCTCCTGTGGAGAGAGAGGCTCCCGGGGAGGCTGAGCAGCAGGAGAAACCCCAGGCGCAGCAGCTCCAGACGCAGCACCCCCAGGCTCAGCAGCTCCAGACACAGCACCCCCAGGCGCAGCAGCTCCCAACTCAGCACCCCCAGACCCAGCACCTCCAGTGACAGCACCCCCCGGCGCAGCACTCCTAGGCTCCGCACCCTCCGCACTAGCACCCCCAGGCTCAGGACCCCCAGCAGCAGCTCCTCCAGGCTCAGCACCCCGGCGGACAGCACCCCCAGAGTCAGCACCCCCAGGCTCAGCACCCGCAGCAGCACCAGAGTCACCAGTAACCTCGACCGGGTCAACGGCGTCTACCTGGGACACACCTGAGGGAGCAGGAACCTGAGGGGGAAGGGGGTCTACCAGGGGGGGAACCGGCACAAGGAAGTCCGGGGGAGGGGGGAGGGAAGGAGGGAAGAACGTAGGCGCAGGGACCAGTACCCCCACCCCTCTGACGCGCAGCGTACCACTCACGAAGTTGCTGAGGCGGAGGGATGTCCCGCGAACGCTGCTGCTGCTGCCGCTGCGAGCGCTGGCCACCACCACCGCCGCTCCGCTGCTGGGTACCACCACGACCAGCTCCACCTCCTCCACCACCACCGCCTCCTCCGCTGCCGCCTCCACCGCCTCCACCTCCACCACCTCCACCTCCACCGCCTCCACTCCCGCTGCTGCCTCCACCACCACCGGTGCCACCACCACCACCGTCTCCGCCGCTGCTGCCAACACCACCACCACCACTACCACTACTCCCGCCGCCACCCCCACTCCCTCCGCCGCCCCCGCCGCCACCGCCACCGCCCCCTCCAGCTCCGCCCGCGTCCTTGCCCCCCTTGCCCTTGCCAGAGCGACGTCTCCCACTAGGGGCAGACGCCGCGCCGACCGACTCAAGACCAAGCAGGTCGGCCGCAGCAGCAGAGGCAACAGAGGGCAGCAGGGGGGAAGGAGAGCACCCCTCAAAGATGGGGGTGCGAGGGTCACCACGAGAGGCACCGACAGCGACTATGCTCTTCTCCGCTGCGAGGAGGGCCTTCTCGAGGAGGTCGACGGTGAGAGTGGTGGGACAGACTGCGAGAAAGTGGTCCCTGACTACGCGGAGGGAGTCAGGGAGGCGCGCGACTACGTAGTAGAGAGTGATGTACATGGGGGGGGGGTTCTTAGCGCAGAACTCAGCAGGAAGGGCGGCGCGGTAGCGAGTGTCACTAGTGCGGAGGTGCGTAATGAGGTCAGCGACAGTGGGAAAGGCAGAGAGGTCAGGAAAGAGGTAGGGAAGCATGAGACGGCTCAGTGCAGCAGTGGCAGGAGAGGAGTAGCGCGCAACTACAGCGTCGTACAAGGTCTGAGCACTCTTGTACTGACTAAAATGCGCACGCTCAGAGGTAGGGAGGTGGCGACGCACAGCAAGACGTGCAGCAGCATCGCGGGTGGCCCACTGAGAGCGGACAGTGGGATCAGCATCGGCAGCAGGAGCAGGAGAGGCGCCAGAGGTGAGGTCAAAGAGAGAAAGGCTGTCAGCTCTGTCGCACTGTAAGAAAAGCTGCAGGTCATCTAGCCAGACCTCAAAATCAATGGCGCGACCCTCGGCGTCAAAGGCTAGGACACTAGGGGTGGCCATGATGACGACAGCGAAGCAGTGCAAGCAGTAGGGAAAGAGGGCGCAGTGACAGAGGGACTGTGCTCACCAGGCAGGGCAGGCCGTGCAGCTCGACAGAAAAGCAGAGCGGTGACCGGGCGGCTCGGGTGTACAGCTGCTCAGCTCCCGGGCGGCTCGGCGGCAGGGCGGCTCGGGTGCAGGGCGGCTCGGCTCCCGGGCGGCTCGGCGACGGACGGCTCGGGTGCAGGGCGACTCGGCTCCCGGGCGGCTCGGCGACTGGGCGGCTCGGCTGCCCGGCCGCCCGACTGCTGCAGGTGAGGCGGCGGGGTCGCGTGAGAGAACCGGGGCGGGGCCGCGAAGGGGCCGGCGGTAGGGCCGCGTAGGAGCCGGGGCAGGGCCGCGTTGGAGCCGGCGGCAGGGCCGGCGGTAGGGCCGGCTTAGGAGCCGGGGCAGGGCCGCGTTGGAGCCGGCGGCAGGGCCGCGTAGGGGTCGGCGCAGGGCCGAGCAGAGGCCGGCGGCAGGGCCGCGTAAGGAGCCGGCGGGCAGGGCCGTGAAGGAGCCGGGACGGGGCCGCGTGAGAGCCGGCGCGGGGCCGAGTAGGAGCCGGCGGCGGGGCCGCGTAGGAGCCGGGGCAGGGCCGCGTAGGAGGCCGGCGCGGGGCCGCGTGAGGGGCCGGCGGCGGGGCCGCGTAAGGGGCCGGCGCGGGGCCGCGTAAGGGGCCGGCGGCGGGGCCGCGTAAGGGGCCGGCGGGGCCGCAATGGAGCCGGTGCGGGGCCGCGTAAGGGCCGCGTAAGGGGCCGGCGCGGGGCCGCGTAAGGAGCAGGCGGCGGGGCCGCGTAAGGGTCAGGGCGGGGCCGCGATAGAGTGGGCGGCGAGGCCGCAGGGGAGAGGGCGACTCGAGGGGTCGCTAAAAAAAAACCGCGCCTCGGGGCGCGCTTCGGTGGGCCCAAAAAAAAAAATCGGTCCTGGAGGGACCTAGCTCTATACCATGTGAAACAATGAGAAGAGGAATGAAATGACTAAGTCACAAATTGGTACAAATAACAAACCCTAGGAATCTGTACCCCATATGTGCTACCCCACTATAGCCTACAAACATGTATCAGCTATAATGTTCTGACAATAACACCCTAGGGTCTAGCTAAAAATACAGGGAAAAAATGGGGGGGGTCTCCTCATAGGAAAAAAAAACATAATACATGGGTCTTATTATATTGCACATTTTTTTTATAATCAGAAATGAATGGAAACAAAAAGAGGGGTCTGGCCTTATTATTATTTTTTTGATCAGGGAAGCCAAACCGCGTCTACGAGGATAACATCGTCCTCCACTGGAATCTGCCACATGGCAAATTCCAGTGGGCCCACTGTGCCACCTGATTGGTTGACATCAGTGCCAACCTCGAGCCCAGCACTCGTTCTCCTCCAGTGCTGTACGTAGACAACAAGGCCATGCTGGCCTTGTGTCGGGAGCAGCGCCTGAAGCACAGAACGAAGCACATTGCTCTCCGCTACTTTCTTGCTCGTGAGCTGCAGCAGCGTGGTCAGTTGCAACTTGCGTACGTGGCCTCTGAGGCCAACACTGCTGATATCTTCACTAAGGCACTTGCGCCTTGTGATCATCAGCGCTTCTGTACTCAGCTTGGTCTTGTGCCTGTCTTGCCTCACATACTCACTTCTTGACCTTGCTTGTACTGTGACATATATATATACTCCTGCTCTTGCTTGTTTAGCCTGTTATATATATATATATGTGTTCCTGGATGTGAACTGGCCTTCTGGCCTTGAACTTGTGCTCGGAATGTGTGGTGACTTTGTGATCCACCCTGAGCTTTGCTTTGCTTTGCTTGACTGGTCTTGTGACCCCTTGTTCTCCCCCACTTTGCCTATGGGGGTGCGTCAAATTATAATGTTGTGTAGGCTATAGTGGGGTAGCCTATATGGGGTACACATTTCTAGGGTTGCATATTTGTATCACTTTCATTCCTCTGTCAATCATTCTCGTTTCAGTTTTCTCAAGTTTGTGCGCCAGATGCGCTCTCTGCACGACTACCCGCTTGACCTCATCTTGAACGCGGACCAAACCCCGCTTTTCCTGGAGATGCCGGCGGAACGCACGCTCGAAATCAAGGGAGCGCGGACGGTTCACGTACGGAGTGCGGGCTATGAGAAGGAGCGTGTTACTGTCATGCTGGCAGTAACTGCGAGCGGGCTCAAGCTGCCGCCGTACGTGGTGTTCAAGCGCAAGTCCATACCGAAGGTGCCCATCCCTGCCGGTAAGCGTAGCACGTTTATGATGATGTCACTACTGTAGCCTGTCAACAGTCGCAACCGAATTTGACCCTAACGTACTGGTATTCTTTGGCAGGTGTGGTGGTCCGTGCACAAGACAAAGGGTGGATGGACGAATCACTTGTGCAGGACTGGATCACCCAGATGATGGTGCCTTTTATGAAGCCCTTGCGTGAATCAACTGGACGCCGCAGGGAGGCCTTGGTTGTGCTCGACTCCTACCGCGGCCACTTGTATGAGGCGGTAGGGTTGACCATGAGGATGTTTCGGCTGTCACGGGCTGTCATCCCAGGGGGCTGCACTCCGCTAGTGCAGCCTCTGGATGTGTCAATCAACCGCGCGTTCAAGTGCGGTGTGCGTCATCGCTATAGTGGCTGGTTCGAAGAAGAGGGCATCAACACCACCACCAAGTCCGGTGAGTTGAACCATGACATCCGCATGTGTAACTTTGAATCAATGTCGGCTTACGCTCTGGAAATTCACATTTGTCCTTCTCTACCCTTCCCCGTCCCTCAGGCAATCTCAAGAAGCCGCCAGCGGAGTTGGTGCTCCGCTGGATCGATGAGTCCTGGGAAGCAATCCCACAGGAGCTCGTGAAGAAGGCGTTCGTCACGTGTGGGATCTCCACCCCCATCGATGGCAGCGAGGACCACCTCATCCTTGCCCACATGCGGGACAAGGGTGAGGTGGAAGTCCTTGACGACGTCAACGACCTGGTTGACGACGAGCTCGTCGTCAACCCCTTCTACGTCGAAGTCCCCATGCCGGCCGAGGAGCTGCAGGCGGAGGCAGAGAAGGCTGACGCCGCTGAGGAGGATGCGGAAGCGGCGGCGGCAGAGGAGGAGGGGTGCGTGCTTAAGGAAGGCGGGGAGGCAGAAGAGCCCAGCGATGACGAATGGTGGCGCCCTGGCCGCTTTGACGGGGAAGACTGTGAAGAATGGCATGCAGGAGACGATTCTGAGTAGAAGGCACTTTGTATAGAGTTTTTTTAGGTGAAATTGTGGATGTGAGGTGCTCTTGTGGTGATGTTTCTGCAGTCTAGGTGAAATTGTCGATGACAATGTGCTGGCACATTACTTCTGTAGTACCTGTAAAGTACCCTGTATGCAATATAAGCAAATTCAGTATTTTTGCCGCCCATAACACCCCCCATGGGTCTTATAGAGAATCAGGCAAAAAGGGGGGTATAGTAGAAACGAGGCTCCCCATAACACCCACCCCGCACAAGCTACCCGGGGGTGTACAATTATGGGGGGGTGTTTTGTCCGGGAGTATACGGTACATGGGCACAGTACAAAGGTTTCAGGTCGTTGTCGCGCCTACTTCAATAGAATTTAAATACATTATTAACAAAAATATCGTCACCCACTGGAACTACATGGGCGACTCGCAGGATATTGTCCACGTCAAGTACGTGGTACTCATTCTCACCATCCTCCCATGTCATGAGTGGGCAATGTGAAATGTGAGTGTCACCGGTGGCCTTGTAGAAGCGCACAAAGGCTAGCTCCTTTTGTTCCACCTCCCTCGTTTGTGGAACAAACGCATCGAGAACAAACAGCAGTAGCAGTCGAGCATGCCAAATGACTTTCTTCCTCGACCCCTCACCACCGCGAGTGACAACCTCCTCACCCAGGATTGCTACATCATTAAACCATGGTCTACCCCCGAAGGAAGAACAAGCGCGCACATAGTGAGATTGACTTGAGTATTTCGTGAAATCTTCGTCCCCCGCTATCGCCATCCCCTTCTTTATGCGCAGCTGGGTACTTAGAACCTGACCATCACTCTCCATGGTCTCCAAAATCTGCTGCAAATTAGACATGTCACCTGGAGCTTCTCGGATGTATTCAGCCCATGCCGAACACTGTGGATCGGCTTCTTTCCAATTCACCTTGAAAGACGTGCTTGCAAGCGTGTTCTTTCCAGTATCAATGGCCTGCAATGCGAAGGAGGATATGATGAGCTCATCCACATCATCATGAAAGGAGATCGAACATGGTTGAGCATATGTGGTAGATTATTCAGTATGATACACACACCTGCTGCAGGGCGACCATTCGTTGTGCTCCATCCTCTGCCTTGTCATCAGCTGCACTTAAAATACGTAGCATCTGTGCCCGAACAGTGTGCTTCACAATCTGGGGCATAGCATCCCGCTTGTTTGTTCCACGGTATGCTTGGTTCACGAGAGGTTGGTGCAAATATTCAAACATGTTGGCGTTGTAATGGACGGGTACACCGGAACGACGAATGTCATCAACGACATGTGCGAATGAATGAACTTTGGTGATATTGAACTCCGAAGCTTGAGCATCACCAAACACCTCCTTCAAGAGTGGGATTAGCCTATGTGCAAACAACAAACAGATTCAAGATAGGGAGCGAAACAGGGCACCAGTGAGAAGGCGGATGGAGCTGCAAGGAGGAATAGCAAGGGAGGGGGGAGCTGCAGGGAGGAGTAGCAAGGGAGGGGGGAGCTGCAAGGAGGAGTAGCAAGGGAGGGGGGAGCGGTGTCGAGGAATAGCGAGTGAGGAGGGAGCTGCAGTGGGTGAGGAGAGGGAGGATGATGGGCTGGGCAGGGAGAAGTTGCCAGGGAGGAAGTGGGAGCTGCATGGAGGTAGGCGTGGAGAGAAGAGATAGGCAAGTAGGGAGTGAGAAAAAGGGAGAGGGCGAAGCAAGATGGGATGAGAGGGTGGAGGAGGGATCAACAGAGAGGGATGGAGAGGTATGGTTTGAGAGATGAGGGTGAAGGATAGAGTAGTAGGGACTGACCAATGAAGGAAGCAAAGAGAGGGTGGTGGACATGGAGGGTGAGACAAACATGGAGTGGTGGGTCGTAATCAAGAAAGGATAAAGGTGAAACCAGGGTGGAGAGATTGGGGGAAGAAACAAACAGGTGAGGCTTTGGAAATGGGTCGTTACTTTTTGATGGCACTGTCGAGCTCGGACAATGTGTCGTCGGTGTGATACCATCTTCGGCATGTCAGCATGTAGCAGTCCACAAATGCTGCAACTGCATCGACAATCTTATGATCCACAATACCGGCAAGCACGATGGTTGCGACCTGCATCACGGCGCAGTGCTCGAAAGCCTGGAACTTCGCAGAATCGGCAAAATAGCCGCCTTTATCCCGCTTTGGAATACGGAATCCCGAGATGCGGGTTGCATCACCCAGATCCTGCAGTGCCTTGTCAAGAGCCTTCAGCACTTTCGTGTCGTCCTTGTACATGACTCGAATGCATGACACGATGTGCATGAAGATGCCAAGGTCTAGCGCGTGCATGACTTCCACAAGCAGTGCTCGGTAGAGATTTCCGACCTCACTCCCTCCCAAGTTAAAACCCCAAATGGCAGCCTACACAAAAGGAGGGCTCAAAATTGATCAAACGATTTGCACAATGACTCACACAAAAATCATGGCTTGAAGAGTGATGGAGATGGGGTGATGAGCGAGAGGGATGGGGTGGGGAGTGAGGAGGATGGACTGATGAGCGAGAGGGATGGGGTGGGGAGTGAGGAGGGATGAGTTGGATGAGTGAGAGAGACTGGTTGGCGAACGCATGAAAATACTTTGCAATGCATACAAGCACATAATGTGGACAACTATAGGTGCTGCAGTACACAGACATCCCCTAAAAGCACTCACTCTGACTGGGTGGGTGCTGATAGCTTTTGAAGCATCAGTTCTTGCAGTCGGGGTAGTGATGGCCAGCAACTCTTCCACCTTTGCTCGTTGGTCCGTCTCAGTTCGGTAAACCAAGGGGACTTGCATGTTGCTGATGTCCTCTGTCTTTACCAAGCATTTGTGGCACGGGAATTTTGCTTTATGACTTGCAAAAGTGCCGGCGTGTTTGCAAGCCTCAGGTTGATCCGCCACGATAGCATATACGAACGGATACACGACGTACTCAGCTCCGTATGGGTCTTTTACAATCATCCCCCTGTTTTGAAATAGGGGCAGCACCCGAAATACCGGGCATGATGGGCTGATGAGTGAGGGGGATGGGGTGATGAGTGACTGAAATGGGGTGATGGGTGATTAATGGGGTGATGTGTCAAGGAGGAGATGGGGTGAAACCGTGAGGGAGATGGGGCGATGAGTGACGGAGATGGGGTGAATCCGTGAGGGAGATGGGGCGATGAGTGAGGGAGATGGGGTGAAACCGTGAGGGAGATGGGGCGATGAGTGAGGGAGATGGGGTGAAACCGTGAGGGAGATGGGGCGATGAGTGAGGGAGATGGGGTGATGTGTGACTGAAATGGGGTGATGGGTGACTGAAATGGGGTGATGAGTGCGAGAGATGGGGTAAAACCGTGAGGGAGATGGGGCGATGAGTGAGGGAGATGGGGTGATGAGTGAGGGAGATGGGGTGATGAGTGAGGGAGATGGGGTGATGAGTGAGGGAGATGGGGTGATGAGTGAGGGAGATGGGGTGATGAGTGAGGGAGATGGGGTGATGAGTGAGGGAAATGAGATGATGAGTCAGAAAGGTGGGGTGAAGTGGGTTCAAGAGTGACTTATAATGGAGGAGACGTTCTAATGGGGGGGGGGGGGGGGGGGGGGGGGGCATGGGGAAATGAGTGAGTGGGATGGGCTGAACCCGAAAGTACTTGGGATGAGGGTAATATGCTTACAGAATTTGCAGACAGAGGTTTAAATCAGGGCTGAAACTTACTCATGAGAGGCTTTCTTGAGGTCTTCGAGAACATGCTCCATTGCCTTGTGAAACACATCTCGCCAAAACTTTTTTCCAGCCTCTGTTTTGGCATCCACGCCGGTGAGAGGGGGCAGCATAGCTACCTTCCGGTGCCCGTGCGGCTGCCATCTGTTCTTCACCGAAATACTTCCAAGGGTGCAGTATACGGGATGCCCAACTACTCGCCCATCATTGCTCAGGTTGGTTGCATCAGTATAGATGATTACCGGTACAGCTAGCGCTCCTATTGGAACCTTGGATTGCCATTCAATCCAGCAGTTTCCCGTTTCTGGCCCTGCATAAATGCGCTGACCATCCCGAGTGTAAAGCGCTTGAGGCCTGTGAACAAAGGCCAAATGATTTTCGCGGTCGGAAAACATAGATCCCACAGCCTTCGCTAGAGAAGTAACGTACAGAGTCGCACTAACATCGGTCCCCAAACTGACATCTATAGCCTCCCACTCCTGTATCCCGGTCATCTCAGCCAACATCTGCTTCTCGTGTCAAACATTGTATGTTGTGGTTGTTTAGGCTACAGCGGGTTAGCCTATAGTGGGTACACATTTCTAGGGTTAGGTTTGACCTATTTGTACCCAACCCTCATTCTAGTGACTCATTCTCATTCTGATATGGTATTACGAGCCTAGGTTTCACCTAGGACCGAAACGATAGGGCCCACTGTTTCCGCTAGCCGCGCCCTCGTGCGCCGCCTTTTCCTGCGCCTCAAGCGCCTTGTTCTTAAGGCCCCCTAAGGCCCTCTCGCGTCGCCCCTTAAGGCCCCTCACGGCCCCTCGCGTCGCCCCCTTAAGGCCCCTTACGGCCCCGCGCTAGCCTCTCAAGGCCCCGTGCGGCCCCGCGCTAGCCCCCTAAGGACCCGTCGGCCCCGCGCTAGCCCCGCGCTAGCCCCCTAAGGCCCCCGTCGGCCCCGCGCTAGCCTCTCAAGGCCCCCGAACGGCCCCGCGCTAGCCCCGAATGGCCCCGTACGGCCCCCCGCGCTAGCCTCTCACGGCCCCCTCGGCCCCGCGCTAGCCCTCTAAGGCCACCGTCGGCCCCGCGCTAGCCTCTCACGGCCCCCCCCTCGGCCCCGCGCTAGCCTTTCACGGCCCCCGAACGGCCCCGCGCTAGCCCCGAACGGCCCCCAACCGGCCTCGCCCTCGCCCTGGACGGCCCCGCGCTCTCCCTTAACAGCCCCACCCGGCCCCGCGCTCGCCCCTCTAGGACCGAGCCGAACCGCGCGACCCGACCGAGCCGCGCCGCCCTAGCCGAGCCGCGCCGCCCTAGCCGAGCCGCGCCGCCCTAGCCGAGCCGCGCCGCCCTACTGCTACTCCCACTGCTGCTACTGCTACTCCTGCTACTACTACTACTGCCACTGCTACTGCTTCAACTATGGCTAGCCCTACAGTTCTCTCGTTCGATACTGAGGGCCGCCCGATTAAGTTTGAGACCTGGCTCGATGATCTGCACCTGTTCCTCCAGCTCACTGCCCGAGAGGATATCTCGCTGTACGATCACGCACTAGGCACAGTCCCTACTCCTGCTACTACTACTGCTGCTACTACTCGCTCACAGTGGCAGACTCGCGATGCCCACGCCTGCTTTGCTATTCGCAACTCCCTGCCAGTAGACGAGCGCGAGCACTTTGGCCAGCATCAGACTGCGCAGGCCCTCTACACTGCTGTAGTTGCGCGCTACTCCTCCCCGGCCTCAGCTGCACTAGGCCGCCTCTCGCTTCCCTACCTGTTCCCCGACCTGTCCGCCTTCCAGACAGTCGCTGACCTCATCACTCACCTCCGCACTAGTGATGCCCGCTTCCGTGCAGCCATGCCCGCTGAGTTTCTTGCCTCCAACCCTCCCCCGCTCTGGCTCACTCTCTACCACCTAGTCACCCGCCTCCCTGACACTCTGCGTACAGTCAGGGACCACTTCCTAGCTCGCTGCCCCACTGAGCTCACCATTGCCGCCCTAGAGAAGGAACTACTTGCAGCTGAGAAGAGTATTGTAGCTGTAGGTGCCTCTCGTGGCGACCCCCGCACCCCTTTCTTCGAGGGGTGTCCCCCCTCCCCCCTGCTCCCCTCTGTCGCCTCTGCTGCTGCTGTCGACCTCCTTGGTCCTGAGCAGGTCGGTTCTGCGTCCGCTCCCAGCGGGCGCCGCAGCGGCAAGGGCAGGGGAGGCAAGGGCGGTGGGGGTGACGGCGGGGGAGGCGGTGGTGGGGATGGTGGCGGCGGTGGGGGCGGTGGCGGGGCTGGAGGGGCTAGTGGCAGCGGTGGGGGTGGTGGAGGCAGCGGCGGCGGTGGTGGTCGGGGTGGGGGCGGTGGTGGTGGCGGCAGTGGACGTGGCGGCGGCAGGGGCGGTGGTGGTCGTGGTGGAGGCGGTGGTGGTGGTCGTGGAGGCTCTGGCCCTGGCCAGAGCGCGCAGCACCCTCAGTCCTCCCAGGAGCTTCGTGAGTGGTACTTACAGCACGGGGGTGGGGGGGGTAGCCTTAGCTGCACGTACGTCATCCGCACTGGTCGCCGCAAGGGACAGACGTGCGGGAGGGCGCACACTGCGCAGCGCTGCTTCTCTCGCCTAGATGACGCGTGGCATGCTCAGTTTCCTGACGCTCCTGAGCTCCCTCAGTGGGCTGATCTCCTCAAGAAGGATATCGATATCTATGCTCTTGATTTTGATGTTATTCTCAAAGCCATGTATGCATTGACTATTAGTGGAGAGGAGGACCAGTACCTGTGTGTTCCGCCTGACCCAGGCATCCGCACGAGTGAGGCTGCCGCTCTAGGTACTTGCGCGTCCGCTGCCCCAGGTGCTGGTGAGGCTACTGCTCTAGGTGCTTGTGTGTCCGCCACCCCAGGTACTACTGAGTCCACTGAGGCACTGCACACCTTCACTCTAGACTCAGGCGCTTCGCGCTGTTTCTTTCGTGACCGCACTGCCCTTGAGCCCCTTGCTTGACCAGTCGCTGTCTCACTCGCTGACCCCTCTGGGGGTCCGGTCATTGCGACCTCCTCCACCCTCCTTCCTTGTCCTGCTGTCCCGTCGGGCACACTGTCAGGTCTCCACCTCCCCTCGTTCTCTACGAACTTGGTGGCGGGTTGTGCGCTTCAGGATGGGGGTGTTCACCAGTTCACCCCTGCCTACGAGCGCGTGACACACTGCACGTGTGCTCGGACGGGCCGTCACCTGGCTACCTTCACTCGACAGCCGGGGTCGGACCTGTACACACTGACCACTGAGTCCCCTCAGGTAGCGGCGTCTGCGTCTGCGTCTGCGTCAGGTCAGCTGTCTGCCCCCTGCTCGTGTCGCTCTCTAGCGCACAAGACTGTCCTCTGGCACCACCGACTTGGTCACCCGTCAGTGCAGCGCCTTCGGGGCATGCACGCCCGGTACCTTGTCTCTGGTCTTCCTCGGGTACTCCCTCCCCTCCCACCCTCCCTTGCTCCTCCTTGTCTTCCCTGTGTCGAGGGGCGGCAGCGCGCTGCCCCTCACTCCTCCTCGTTCCCCCCGACGACTACTCCTTTGCAGACGCTCCACATGGACGTGTGGGGCCCAGCCCGCGTCCGTGGTCAGGGCCAGGAGAGGTACTTCTTGATCGTCGTTGACGACTACTCACGCTACACCACGGTCTTCCCCTTGCGCACCAAGGGTGAAGTCCCTGATGTTCTGATCCCTTGGATCAGCAGAGCACGTCTTCAGCTGCGAGAGCGTTTTCGCTCGGAGTTTCCTGTCCTGCGCTTGCACTCTGACAGAGGTGGCGAGTTCTCCTCCGACCTCTTGGCAGCCTACTGTGCCGAGCACGGCATTCGCCAGTTGTTCACGCTCCCGGCCTCTCCACAGCAGAATGGGGTTGCTGAGCGCCGCATTGGCTTGGTCATGGAGGTCGCTCGTACCTCCTTAGTCCACGCGGCTGCCCCCCACTTTCTGTGGCCGTTTGCGGTCCGGTACGCTGCGCATCAGCTTAACCTCTGGCCCCGTGTCTCCGCTCCGGAGACCTCGCCCACACTGCTGTGGACGGGGGAGGTTGGCGATGCGTCACGCTTCCGTGTCTGGGGATCCCGAGCTTTTGTTCGCGACACGTCTGCGGACAAGCTCTCCTCCCGCACTGCTCCGTGTGTCTTTCTTGGCTTTGTCCCGGATGCGTCTGGCTGGCAGTTTTACCACCCCGCCTCGCACCGCGTCTTCCCCTCTCAGGACGTCACTTTTGACGAGTCCGTGCCCTTCTACCGCCTCTTCCCCTACCGCACTGCCCCGCTCCCTCCCCCGCCTCTCTTCCTCGCGCCAGGTGCTGAAGTGGTAGACCCCCTCCCCCCTCAGGGTGCCGCTCCCTCAGGTGTCTCTCAGGTAGACCCGGTTGAGCCTGCCGAGGTAGCTGTCGACTCGCATCCTGCTAGAGGTGCTGAGCCTGAGCGTGCGGAGCCTGAGCGGGCGGAGCCTGGGGGTGCTGAGTCTGGGGGTGCTGAGGCTGGGGGTGCTGAGCCTGGGGGTGCTGGGTCTGGGGGTACTGAGACTGAGGGTGCTGAGCCTGGGGGTGCTGGGTCTGAGGGTACTGAGCCTGGCGTTGCTGAGACTGGGGGTGCTGAGCCAGGTGGTGTTGCAGTTGACTGTGAGGCGCCTGGAGGACCTCCCTCTTCGCAGCAGCTACGTGAGTGGTACTCACGGTACTGCAGCCTCCGGCGGGGTGCGTCTCGGGCTCGTGGTGCTACTGGAGTTGGTACTAGTGTTTCCCCACCACGGCGGGAGCCGCCCTCTTCCCCACAGCTTCGAGAGTGGTACGCTCGGCACATCAGTCTCCGGAGTGGAGCTGCTGGTGCTGGGGTCCCCGGAGTTGACGCTGCTGCGGGTGCTGCGGACCCTGGTGCTGGAGGTGCTGCTGCTGCTGGCGGTGCTGCTGGAGGTGCTGCTAGTACTGAGGACCCGGGCGTTGGAGCTGCTGCGGGTGCTGCGGACCCTGGTGCTGGAGGTGCTGCTGCTGCTGGCGGTGCTGCTGGAGGTGCTGCTAGTACTGAGGACCCTGGTGCTGGAGGTGCTGCTGCTGCCGCTGGTGTCTCTGCTGGTTCGAGAGTTGCTGCACGGCCACGGCCGTACTTCGTTCCGCTCCTTCAGCAGGTTCTTGGTCAGCGTCCTCCTCCTTGTCCTCCTCTCGCCTTAGAGTGTCCGCCGTCTGTCCAGTCACAGCCACAGTTACCGCCTGCCTCCCCACTCCCTGTGCCTACTCCTTACACTGGTCCGACTGGAGGTCTTGCTGAGAGACGTGAGCCTGCGTCACGTCCTGTGTCACCTGCGTCTCGTCGAGCGTCGCCTGTTCGAGCTGCTACCACTGGTAGTCGTGTCCCGCGTGAGCGTCCTCCTGCTGTCCCAGGCACTCACCAGATGGCGCTTCGTCAGTCCACTGCTCCGCAGCGTGTCACTCTCCCGTCGCCTCCTGCGTCCTCTCTTCCTGCTCTGGCTGACCCCGAGTCAGACTCCCTTCGCGCTGCCAGTCCTACTGTCACACGTCTCCTGGCTACGGTTGTCACTAACCCTTCCTTTGAGTCCGCTGCTGCGTCTGCCTTAGTCACTGAGCTTGTCGACTTTGCAGCTGCGTGTCGTCTAGACTACGCTGCGAGTCTTGTTGCTGAGTCTGAGTCTGTCTGACTCAGACTCAGGCACGGGCAGCAACAGGCACGGGCAGCACAGGCGCGGGCAGCAACAGGCACGGGCAGCACAGGCACGGGCAGCACAGGCACGGGCAGCACAGGCACGGGCAGCAACAGGCACGGGCAGCACAGGCACGGGCAGCACAGGCACGGGCAGCACAGGCACGGGCAGCACAGGCACGGGCAGCACAGGCACGGGCAGCAACAGGCACGGGCAGCACAGGCACGGGCAGCAACAGGCACGGGCAGCACAGGCACGGGCAGCACAGGCACGGGCAGCACAGGCACGGGCAGCAACAGGCACGGGCAGCACAGGCACGGGCAGCACAGGCACGGGCAGCACAGGCACGGGCAGCACAGGCACGGGCAGCAACAGGCACGGGCAGCACAGGCACGGGCAGCAACAGGCACGGGCAGCACAGGCACGGGCAGCACAGGCACGGGCAGCACAGGCACGGGCAGCACAGGCACGGGCAGCAACAGGCACGGGCAGCAACAGGCACAGGCAGCACAGGCACGGGCAGCACAGGCACGGGCAGCACAGGCCCCCCGAGGGCGCTTCGAAGGACGGGAAAACCGCTGCGCGCCCCGAGCGCACGGCGGGATGAAAAACTCCGAAATCCTAAAAAAAAAATTTCGCCGCGCGCTCTGCGCGCGGCAGGAAGAAGGACTGCAGCAGAAGCATAGGGGCCCACAGGCCAAGGTAGAACGGGCTCTGATAACATGTGAAAATATTAGGTGTGGGGCCTAGGCTTAGTAGCCTAGGCCCACACTAGGAGATAGGTAAGTTCGAGTGGGTTAGGTGAGAGTCGAGAAATTGGAAGGGAAGTGAAGTGACTAGCAAGAGTTGGGATACAAGTACATTGCCCTAAATTGGGTTGTACTCATTACAGAGTACCCCACTGCAGGCTAGACAGCAAATATATTCTGACACTTCAGCCTTGTGACCATCAGCGCTTCTGTACTGTTCTAGGCCTCGTGCCTACTGTCCCTCATTTGCTCACTTCGTGACTTTGCTTGTACAGTGATCTCTATATATATATACCTGCATGCTTACTCTTGCTAGGTTGTGATCACTGTATCTCTTGTTCTTTTATAAATCTGCATGTGAACTGGTCTTGTGACCACTTGTTTGTGCTCGGAACTTGTGTGGTATCCTTGAGATCCACCCTGAGCTTTGCTTTGCTTTGACTGGTCTTGTGACCCCTTGTTCTCCCCCACTTTGCCTATGGGGGTGTGTCAAACATTGTATGTTGTGGTTGTTTAGGCTACAGTGGGTTAGCCTATAGTGGGTACACATTTCTAGGGTTAGGTTTGACCTATTTGTACCCAACCCTCATTCTAGTGACTCATTCTCATTCTGACAACTCGTACTTCTCCAAGGCAGCTCTGTTCTTCAAAGAAGGTTTTACAAAACGGCAATCATGCATGACTGCTGGAATCAAGTTGGTATCATGCGTGGAAAGGCCCATACCTCCGTTGCACTTATTGAAAGCGAGCATCAAGGCCTTGTCTGGATCGTACCTCTCCTCCTCTGGTTCTACCAGCTTCTCCACACCCAGGAAAGCGTTTCTCAGCGGTATCTCCTCTTCTTCCCCCACACTAGGAAATTAGAACGTCGCAGCTGGTGTAGGAGCACGAGTGGCCCTCTCTTCATTTCTCGCCGTGTTTCGCAAGGACTCCAAATTGGCGGCTCCATCGGAACAGTGTTGGCGTACATACTCGAACACTTCTTCATCAATATTCTCATCATGCCTGCTGCGTTTCCTACATGCTTGCTGATGGTTCTCCAATCCTCTTCCACTCTTAAACGGTCGTCCGCAACCGCAGGTGAACACCATCAAAAGAATAAGAAATCGAATCATTGATTCATTAGTATAGGTACAAGCAGGATCCGAAGGATGCTGAACACCATCTACAACAACGAACGATCAGGCTTGAGTGCACTACCTAACAATTTCGTCTAGAAAGAACACCCTAAGATGCAGAAATGTCTTGAGCAACGGTTGACCAAAGCTCCTGCATAAAGGAAACCGAGAAAACTATATCAGACTATGTAGTCGTCCCTTGAAAGAAAGCGGGAAATCTGGAAAAACATGATCTCTAGGTAAGCTGAGCCACAATGTAATGAACCTACAGTATGCCTAAACGGTTGTTAAAAAGCGGGAACGTCGGCGCCAATATAGGACTAACGGCTGGAGCTCTAACCTAAAAACCTAGACTTAGACGAAGATGTTGGAACATGTTGGCTGAAGTCAGAACAAGGCACAGAGTGAGGGCGTGTTTATCACTGTTGTTCAAACTAGATTACGGGTCTGGTTACCTGAAACTGTGACGCTCAACCTAACTGTGACTGAGCGAAAGCGTATTTCAGTCAACTCAGCCATGGGTTTTGATCGCGCCCTAAACCCCCGTGTCAGAACGTCACAATTTTCCAGTGTGCGAAGTGTGAACCACGCAAGCGACGCCCCGAGCCTGCAGGTAACGGGTCGTTAATGCCTTTTCTGCTTGATTCTGATTTCGGGAGATTTCGCGGGAGTTCAAGGCCTCGTCAACACACCGCGCTTCTCACCCGTTCGTTGAATAGCCAATCAAGTACTTTCAACGGTTATTGTCGCGCCTCTTCCAGTCACAATTTCACCGCTCGTCAGCTTTTTTCAATTCGGTTTCACTTAGTTTAGAAGAAAACCAATCACATGTGCGCATCATGTTACACTCGTGTGTGTACAGTCACAGCCTCACCCCCCGTCCTTTCGTGCCTGAACTTTTTCAATCGCGCTGCTATTGTCCACGTGTCAACCAGGTTTCCGATGGAGCAACTGCCAGAATGTATAACGGAGGGTTTGACGGTCAGCAGATTGCAAAATTGGCCAATTCTCGATTCCGAGGCAACACAATCTACGATTTACCGCCTGGATTATAATCAGCCCCCCACCCCCCCCCCCCCCCCCCCCCCCCCAAAAGTTGCGATGCCGATGGCGGGTGCCAAGATTGGCAGTTGTTGCTGACGTAGCTGTGCCGTGAGGTAACATGAAGGAAAGACAGGGGGAACTTGTGGGTCACCACGTGAGGGTGACCCCGGGGTCTCCCACGTTTTCGAAGTGATAGTTGCGTGTAGAATTTCGGGATGCTTACTCCCCATGCGCTGAGTCAGAACTAAAGTCACTAAAACGGGGACAGTCACGGCGGCGTGCCGCCGTGCCACAGCAACCCTAGTCTAATATTAGGACTAGCAGGAGAATGAAATGTACAGATTTTGCGGATTTGCGTCTGGCCTGACATATCCCAACACCAAAGGGAAACTGAGAACCGCCTTTTTCATTCTCTGCGCTGTCATCCCACGTGATGGCGAGCGTGACGTCTCCGCCATTAACGTTTCGCTTCTATCGTACAAGCGGCCAATATCATAGATACTCAAAGTATTCCCGAGCGGGTTCTCAGGTGTAATCACCAACAGAAACACAGTTTCGCGATATAGTAGTAAATGTTTCTTGCTGTGTTCTGAATACAGTTACTACAAAAAATGCAGCACCTGGAAAAAAACTTATAGCGAACCTAGATGAATTTCGAGACAGATCAACCCTAACTACGGGAAGCCGCCCATTCAGGTGAAATATATTACACTTTCTTGACCCAAAAAATCGGAATGGGATGCGACTCGGGAGGCATCAACCCTAAAAACAATGCCCTTTCCCGTGTTTAGGTTTGATCCCTCCTGAAAATTCGTCCAGATTCTAAAGGGGTTTAGTTTTTCTGACTCGTCGTAAATTTACGAACTTTAATTTCACAAATCCAGGTCAGGAGGGTAAACTATATTGTTTTGTTTTTGTCAGTGCGAAGAAGAAAACGAGAATGAATGAACTATGAATGAAGTGAGTACATATAGGAAACCCTAATTGGGTTGTACCCCCTATGGGATACCCCACTATAGCCTACACAACAGGATAAGCTATATAAAGTTCTGACACACCCCCATAGGCAAAGTGGGGGAGAACAGGGGTCACAAGACCAGTCACGCAAAGCAGAGCAAGCTCAGGGTGGATCACAAAGTCACCACACAGTACGAGCACAACGACAAGGCCACAAGGCCAGTTCACATGCAGGAGTACACACACACACATATATATATATATATACATATATATATATATATATATATATATATATATATATATATATATATATATATATATATATATATATATATATATATATATATATATATATATATATATATATATATATATATATATATATATATATATATATATATATATATATATATATATATATGTGACAGTACAAGCAAGGTCAAGAGGAGAGCAAGTGAGGCAAGACAGGTACAAGACCCAACTGAGTGCAGAAGCGCTGATGGTCACAAGGCGCGAGTGCCTTGGTGAACACGTCAGCAGTGTTGGCCTTAGAGGCCACGTACGCAAGCCGCAGTTGTCCACGCTGCTGTAGCTCACGAGCAAGGAAGTAGCGGAGAGCAATGTGCTTCGTTCTGTGCTCCAGGCGCTGCTCTTGACATAAGGCCAGCATGGCCTTGTTGTCTACGTACAGCACTGGAGGAGAACGAGGCGGCTCTCCAAGGTCAGTCAGCAGGTAGGAGAGCCAGCGAAGCTCCTGTGCAGCCATGGCCCCAGCGTAGATCTCAGCCTCACAACTAGAGCTGAGGACAGAAGACGAGCGAGTAGCCCGCCACGAGACAGAGCCGGAACCAAGACTGAAGGTATAACCCTATGACGACCGCTGCGTAGCCTGGTCGTCAGCCCAAGAAGCGTCCGCGTGCCCCGTAAGGACCACTGGACTCCGCCCTCCAAGCACTAGCCCCATGCCCGACGTACTGCACAGGTAGCGCAACACCCTCTTCGCTGCAGCCATGTGCTCTGGTCGGTGTCTCCCAGGAGCAACATAGCGTGCAAGAATGCTAAGAGGGTATGCAAGGTCAGGTCGTGTGCAGGTCATCAGGTACATGAGGCAGCCAACAAGCTCTGG